CGCTCTCTCTCTCGTTCTTTCCCATTGCAGTGGAAGCATACAAAACAAAACATGAACCGTCTCGGCGATCTCCATGTGTGCGTGGTTGCTTTCTTCGCGTGGTGCTGTCCTTGGGGGCTATCCTGTTCCAAACTGTCCCACCGCCATTAACTGGCACCAGCAAACCCCGAACTCCTCCCCCCCGCTCTTGCTTCCAGCCCTGGTCACCCCACCAAAAAACAACAGCCCCACACTCACTGCCCTCCAATTGATTCCAACGCTCAGCAACCCTATAGGACAGGATAGAACTGCCCCTGTGGGCTTCCACGACTGTCACTCTTCACGGGAGTAGAAAGCCCAGTCTTTCGCCTGCAGAGGGACTGGTGGATTCAAACTGCTGACCTTGTGGTTAGCAGCCCAACTCTTAACCACGCTGCCAGCCAGGCTCTGGTAGTGACTGATCGTCTTTGGCTTTGATGTATTTTATTTGCTTATTTCCTGGAAGTGAGAACATGCTGACTTGATGTCTTGTGACTGATTTACTCCTCTCAACGTAACACTTTGGGAGCTATCACAGCTTCCGTCCTCTGCATACTCAAACAACAAACACACCGCCATCCAGTTAGCTCCAACTTAGAGCGATACTGGAGTAAGATGGAGTATCACAGCCCTTTGGGTTTCTAAGCCTGTAAATCCTTCGGGGGAGCGGACAGCCTCATCTTTCTCCTGCTGAGTGGCTGGTGGAGTCAAACTGCCAACCCTGTGGCTAGCAGTCCCAATGGTAACCCACTACCCCAGCAGGGCTCCCTTTGGCTGAGGAATGGGCCGTGCATTTGCTCATCCGCTGATGGACTTCCCGGCTGTTTCACACTCTGGCTCCTGTGACAGTGGTGCAGTGAACAGAGGTGTGCGTTCCTGCCCCGCTCCTTCTGGGGGTCTTCCGCGCGTGGATTGGGGTTGCTGGGTGGTTGCGTAGTGCTGTGGTCGAGTCACCGAGGAGCTGCAGGACTGCTTTGTGCTCCCGCCGGCTCTGGATGAGGGCACCAATGTCTTCACAGCCCCGACCGCACCCTTGCTTTCCCATCTGTCTGATCACTGCTGTCCTAATTGGGGGCGCATGGGATTTAGTCTCTCATTGTAGCTCCACGGTGCTTTGAGGAAGAGGAACGTCGCCGTTGAAAGGAAGAGGGGGTTGATGTCACGGTTCCACAAACACCAAGGATGTGTTCAGAGAGGCGAGCCAGTCAGGAAGGGAGGCCCGGTCCATGGGTGGACCTCAGACGAGCTCATCCGAGACTCTGGGGACGCTTGTTAAAAGAAAGGTCCCTGGTTCTGCCCTGAGACCTACTGACACTGCACCTCTGGGGCGGGCGGGTACCAGAATCCCCATGTGGATGAGACCCCGCTGATACCGCCAGACTCAGCCCACCCACCCCATCTTCTTACTAAGACCCACGTTGCTTCCCCAGCCTCTCTCATTCTTCACTAACAATACTGCCTTCCCATGGGGACTCTCCCAGGGTCTTCCGAGGGGGGGTAGGTTTGAGCCACTAACCTTTCAGGAGGCAGCTGAGTGCTGAAGCACTGTGACCCCCGGACTCCGGTGCCTGACATATGCGAGATCTTCAGCCCTCGTTGCTCACTCACTACCATCGAGTACTTCTGACTCGGAGCGAACCTACAGAGCCCGGTAGAACCGCCCCCTTGGGTGCTCAAGGCTGTAAACCTTGACGGGAACAGAAAGCCTCGTCTCTCTTCCTCAGAGCAGCTCTTGGATTTGAACTGCTGACCCTGAGGTTAGCAGCCCAAGTGAAACCCACTTGGTTGCCAGGTCTCTGCACACATTCACTGCTGTTAGTCCACGGTTGCCCAACTCGGTAAACTTTTTGTTTACTGGCCACTCATTCTTCGGACGTCCCCGTCCATCTGAGTCGACATAGTCACCAAGTGTTCGGGACAGTATCTCCCATTGACCTTTTCTCCCCCTTTGCCTTTCTTTCTGAAGCCGTTTTTATTGGAGGCTCTTACAGCTCTTTTTTTTTTTTTTTAACATTTTATTAGGGGCTCATACAACTGTTATCCCAATCCATACACACATCAGTTGTGTAAAGTGCATTTGTACATCGTTTCTCAAAACATTTTCTCTCCATTTAAACCCCCGACATTAGGTCCTCATTTTTCCCCTCCCTCCCCGCTCCCCCCTCCCGCATGAGCCCTTGATAGTTTATAAATGGGTATTTTGTCATATCTTGCCCTGTCCGACGTCCCCCTTCATGATCGCTCTTACAGCTCTTATAACATTCCTTGCCCCTCATTAGGTGCTAGGTGCCATCGAGTTGGTTCCGACCCACAGTGACCCCATGCACAACACCGCCCGGTCCTGCGTCAGCCCCACAGTGGTTCCTCTGCCTGAGCCTGTTGTTGCAGCCACCGTGTCTGTCCATCTCCTGGAGGGCCTCCTCTCTTTCGCTGCCCCTCTGCTTTACCAGGGACGAGTCTCTCCTGATCCCTTGTCCAAAGTCCGTGAGATGGAATATGGCGAGTATTAGCCTGGAGAAGATGAGGCTGCTTATATCCCCAATGGAAACCCCAAAATGTTAGACGTGAGGTGTCTTTCCCTAGGTCACCCACCCAGTTGAAGGTAGATAGCAGGTAGGAAGGCCCCCTGGTGGCTGTGTGTCCCTTGAGGAGCCCAGGCCAGCCTTCTGTCATGGGCCGGACTGCCTGGGAACATCCTGCTGGAGAGCAAGCCTATCAATGCACCTTAACACCGCCTCAGCCTGAGCATTGGTGCTAGTACAGGGATTTGTGCATGCGCACATACACACACACACACACCAAGGTCCCATGGATCAGCCACCATCTCTTCGGCACAACCACATCACTAGGCAAGCAATGCATTGTGGGTTCCTGACGAACACGACTATTTACTTCCAAAGAGAGGTCTGCGTATTAGACGTACCGTCTCCTGGCATGTTTTGTCTGCCGGGACTCGTATCAAGTGGGCAGGAAAAAGGGAAACATCTGTTTGTTTTTGCAAGGGCACGTCGAGACGAGCCTGAATGATGCTTGTGGAAGCTTCAACTTGTTCATCCAGAAAAAGTGAGCAACGGCTTTTGAGTAGCGAAGTAGGGAAGCCGGTTGACAGTGAATACTGGGATCGACTAGGTCACCTTAGGGCGCACAGTCTGTCCTTTCTGAACCAGCAAGTGGTTGTAAAAAGTGACAGTGCAGGGCAGAATCGTGTGAGTGCTCCTTAGAGGCAAGGGTGGTAGGAGTTCGTCTGACATGCTTTGGCATGTTATCAGGAGACACCAGTCTCTGGAGAGGAACATCATGCTTGGCAAACTCGTGGGGTGGGGGTGGGGGCTTAGGGGCAGGCCCTGGACGAGGTGGAGTGACGCAGCGGCTGCAGCAATGGGCTCGGCATGGGGACCGTTGTGAGGACGGCGCAGGACCGGCGGTGTTTCCTTCTGTTGTGTCTAGGGTCGCCGTGGGTCAGAACCGACTCGATGGCACCTCACAAACTGATTTTGTTATAGGTCTCATCTTTTGAAGCTTGTTTGAGGCACTCGGTTTATTTTGTTAAGCAAAACCAAAAGTAGCCTTAACGTTTAGTATTTGAACTGCCTTAGGGACCCAGTTGAAATGATCTGTTTAGGCTAGATAAATCTACAGAGACGGTAACTGCATTAACAATCACCTCGGGCCATGGCAGGGGACGGTGGAGAGAAATGGGGCGCTAACAACCAGGAGAGAAGAAAATGTTCTGAAATGGATGGTGATGACGAGAACCTAACTCTTCGTATGATCAAGCGTTGCATTGTCTGATGTGTTAAGTATATGCCAATAAGACTATTTTTAAAAAAAGAAACAGACGGTTTAGACTTGCAAATGTGTAGCGTGGAACTGGAATGTAGCAGCTGAGGGGAGTGAGCAAGAGTTCCTACAGGAAAATGGGAAACCTTACAAATCGACTCAAATGTTTGACGATGGAAACTGTCACGTCTCAAACGTGCTCTTGCTCTGGAGTTCATTTCACTCGGTTCCCTGTCCACCTCCGCTCTCCGCCCGGCGCTGCTCTCTGCGTGTGAGCGGGCACAGCTATGGGAGCACAGTTGGGCGCTAACCGCGCCGCCGCCACCGGTCAGCGGGAGGCGGGAAAAGAAACCAGAAACGCACTGCTAGCAAGTCCCTTCCAACCCCTGGCCACCCTCTAAGGCAGCGCTTCTCCACCTTCCTGGTGCCACGACCCTGGCCTGCCATTCCTCATGTGGTGGAGACCCCGACCATGACATTATTTTTGTTGCTATCGTCACTGTCATTTTGTTACTGTTACGAATCGTCATGTAAATATCTGATACACAGGATGTATTTTCATTGTTACAATTTGAGCATTATTAAACAATTAAAGCAGTGATTAATCACACAACAATATGCAGTTATATATTGTGAACTATTTATCTCTTTTCCAATGGTCTTAGGTGACCCCTGTGAAAGGGTCATTTGACCCTCAAAGGGGTCACGACCCACAGGCTGAGAACTGCTACTCTAAGACCAGAGGAAAACTACTTCAGGGAGCTCCCGAGACTGTAACTCTTTCCAAGAGTAGGCAGCCTCATCTGTTGCCCAGGGAGTGAGTGGCTGGTAGTTTCGAACTGCTGACCCAGTTGCAGTTAGCAGCCCAATGCGTACCCACCACCCCACAGGGGTAGGGGCCCTTCCTAATGCAGCCTGACCTCATTTTAGCTATAGCCGCAAAATCCCTGTTTCCCAACAAAGTCACATTCTGAGGCAGGCATGCATTTCGGGGGCCGCCCTCCAATCCATTACAGTCACATCCAGTCTGGTGGTATAGACAGGCGCCGTGGGGACTCAGGCTGCCCCCGCCCCAAATCAGGTGCAGTCTGGGAGGCGACCGTCCCGTGTGGTCCTGGTGACTTCACGGTGATGGGGGCAGCAGGGTCACCGAACCGTGGAGGCGAGAAGAGAGGGCGCCTTTCTCTTTGTCGCCCTGCCAGTTTGTGAAGTTTGCCAACATTGAGGAGGA